GCAGCCCAGCTCCAGGTCGAGCTGTTGTTCACCATCTTAGCTGTAGAGGGCGCAGCGTCACTGGCCCTCATGTGGGATCCGAACCACATGTGGGGCCCTGCTGCTCAGAGCTGGTGTCCCAAGCCAACTCCTAACCAATTCGCTACTCGGCCAGCCCTCTTTTATTTTCTTTAACTTTAAAAAACCCCTCTTGGAATACTTACCTTTCTATCTTTTGGGCTGTTTGTGACACAGGAGTAGGGTCTCACAACACAGTGCAGGGGCCTCCAGGAGCCCAGGAATTTTTCACTGGATGACATTGCTTCCCCCAAATAGTGACAGGAATGGGAATCACAAAGTACCAGCAACTTCACATAGGTTCAGAGAGAGCTGTCCCTACTATATAAACCCTCTGAAAGAGCTGACGACAATTAGCCACTGACTAATGCCAGTCATCCTGTCATGTCTCTAATTAGAAGGAAATAACCACAGAGTTGATATAATTTGGCAAGATAAAGATTCCTGCTGCTACCTAAACGCCCATCAAACAAAGACTGCTTGACTTTTGAAGCGAAGAATTTGGTTCTTGTGATAGTACTCTTTGCTGAAGTTAATTTTCTTAATTTTGGGGAACACTGAGGACTGAATTATCATGACCGATAATTCCCCAGCTCTCAGTAACCCTCTGAACCTGCCGGTTTTGGTGGCTGATGCCCTGCAAATAGTAGTAGATGGCCATTTCTCTGGCATATAAGAGCCGCTGCTATAGGATCTGATGCTATTTATACCATTTCTCCCCCTCTAGAAACATGTTTACTGCTCAATAACTACACGCGAGGTGACCGAGGAGGAAGAATCAAGTGAAAAATCAGAGGCCACCTACATGACCATGGTGAGGATGATTCTGGGCCCAGCTAAGCCAGGTGTCTGGAAGTGGGAGGAGCTGGGAAGGCTACGGCAAACTCGTGGGTGTGGATGTGACTAGGTCACCTGGGGAGGTCACTCTGCCGAGGGCTGAGATTTTTCTAAGTAGTAGGAAAGTCAGAAGCTGAAACTCTGCTGGATAGAAGAGTAATCTCAAACTTGCTTTCATACCCAGTCTTGAGCATTAAGGGGCCTTACAGGCTAGAGGTGATTGAGTTTAGTGGGGGAAATGAGGCACCTTCACTGTGGTTAGGCGAAGTGTCTGCCTATCAGTGCAACTCTGGTTCAGCACAGCCTAATAAAGAGAGCACAATAGACCCTGGGGCAAGCGCTCTGTCGCAAGGGATTGTTCCCCTTTCTGTCAAAGGTCCCATCCAACTCTTAGATGTATTTTTTGTGTGTGACTTATTACGCTTTGACATAATCTAATTCAGCATGCCAGGAAGGCTGCATGCTGAATTCCGTATAATAATATGGAGTCTGATTATTCCTCTCTCTGTTTGCTGAACTCCTCAATGAAGTACAGCACCTAGAAAAGGCACTGGAGTGTAGTGAGCAGGTAGGGGTAAGAACCAAAGGAGGGAGCTGGCAAGGGACACGGTGCTATTTGTGGACTAATTATAGGCACCAGGCCATGAAGGGCGCAGTGTTCTGCTGGGTTCAGGAAGGCTGGCCTCCTCTGTCTGTGGGGGTGGGTGATGGCTTGTGCTTGTTCCTGTCGCACCAGCACTAAGGACACATGACTCCCTGGTGATTGCAGCAGAGAAAGTTTCTGCCAGGGAAGTGTGAGGTCAGAGACCTGGCCTGGTTCCACCGAGTGAAACAGTAGCTCCACTCTGAAGTTGTAGTTGAATATAGTCACCTCCCCCCCACATCCTTCTGCCATTATTGCCATGTGATACTATAGTAACTGCCAGGCCCCATCCTGCCTCTTAGAGACCTGCTGATACAGCTGTATTGTGACTAATGCTGTGTGCCACTCAACCTGGGTGACAGTGTTTGCAGAAAGTCTGTGATATAGAGATACTATAGGAGTGAATTGTCTTCAAAGCTACCTTTCCCATGTTCAGTGCTCGGTGCTTGTGATTTAAACTCTGCCGAAAACAGCACCTCTGTCCTCTTGAAACGGATCCAATAAAGCGAGCATGATGAGAGGCCAGGGCCACAAACTCAGAGGCCTTCAGGGGCTGGTCAGGTTGTTTTAAAACACTATGTGCCAAGTTAAATAAGGCTATGGGGGAATTCTGAACTTCAGGCCACTTGTTTGAGACCTAGGTTCAGAGGTGTTATCTGATAGGGAGCAGGGGTAACATAGAATGTTTGATTTTTGTTGTTGAATTGATTTAATCTACTTAAATGAAGGCAGCACCATATTGTGTCCCCTTTCTGAGGTTGTATAGCACAGTGGTTAAGATCAAAAGCTTTGAAGCTGGACAGACCGGGTCTGAATCCTGACTCTGACTTAGAATGATCTTGGGCAGGTAACTTAGCTTCTCTGAGCCTCAGTTTCCTCATCTTTAAAGTGGGAATAATAAGAGTTGGCTGATTGGCTCAGTTAGTTAAGAGCACAAGCTCTGAGCAACAGGGTCGCTGGTTCAATTCCCACATGGGCCAGTGAGCTGCACCCAAGCTGAGCTGCCAACAGGTGGCAGGATGGCTCAGTGGTTAGAGCCTGCGATCTTAGCAACAAGGTTGCCTGTTTGACTCCTGCATGGGACAGTGGGCTACACCTACCCACAACTAAGATTGAACATGGCACCTTGAGCTGAGTGGGCACGAGCTGCTGATAGGCAGCTGGATGGTGACTGGACTTGGAGCTGAGCTAGCTGCACCCTCTACAACTAAGACTGAAGGACAACAACTTTGCTGTTCCCCTCCCCCAATTCCCCAATAAAATCTTTTTTTTTAAATGGGAATAATAATACCTACCTCCCAGGTGGTGAGGATCCAAAGAGATAGTACATGTGAAACTCAGAATTGGGCCAGATGGCTAGAAAGAGCTCAATAAGTGCTAACTATTACGGTTGAAATACTGTTTACAAATGCGCTTTGTTTCTTTCCTTCCCCTGCAGCACCCAGTCTGGCCTTCTCAGAGGTCAGCACCAAATAACTCACTTGAAAAAAAGTCAGCTGTGGGAATACCAAAAACAAAGCAAGACTTTTGAGAAGGAGAGCTCCCTTCCTCCTTAATGGTGGCAGAGACTCTCCTCTGTGTGTCCTGAGTCGCTGTACCAGCTATTGCAGAACCCCCGTCCTTCCCAGTTGTCCTCCCGTCTCCCTGGTTGGTCAAAGGGCTGAAGATGGAGGGTTCGGAGCCTGGCAGAAGATGGAGGAATCGGCCCTAATGTGGGGGACCGTGGACTTGGTCCCTCTGGAGTGGGACACTGGCCCTGGGGACCCTGGCTGAGCTGCCGCAGTGGCCTCAAGCACTGCATCAGATCAGACCCTCCACTTGGGTGGCATTCTTCGTGCATGCATTACTGGGAAGAATCACAGAAATAAAAACCAACCCAAATGACTCCTTTGGCAAATTATCCCTAAATAAATGTGGTTTGTGGAAATCGTCCTGTTTTGATATCCTGGCTGAGGGGCCTGTGGAGTGTTGGTGAGGAATTTATAGTCAGGAACTCCTGAAACAACTGAAGTGACTGGAAGAAAGCCATACTCTGACTTAACACGTTGGGGTCTGGTTTGGGTCCTGGGAAACTTTTGGGGGTTGGAAGTAGGGTATGAATACAGCTCTAGGATTAACCCAGTGCTTCTTTTTAAAAAAATTTATTTATTAAATTATTTTTTATTATGAAATACACATTTTTTTAGAATTAGTATCAGCTGTACAACACAGTGCAATAGTTATACTTTTTACCCCTCGAAGTGACAACCTCCCCTCCCCCAATCCGCCACCCCATTTCCCCCCAATATCATACATATCTATTACAATTCCCTTGACTCCACTCCCACACTATACTCCACGTCCCATGACTATATATATGTATATATATATATTCAATTATAGTTGACATACAATATTATACAACATCAGCTTCAGGTGTACAGTGCAGTGATCAAGCCTCTTCCCCATCCATGATGCAAGACATGTGACCACCTGACACCCTACAAAATATTCACAACATTATCAATTACATTCCTCGAACTGTCCCCCATGTCCCCATGGCAACACTGCAGCTGCGTATTTATGCTATCCAGCCCCCTCCCTCTCTCCCTCATCCCCACCCCCAACCAACAGCCATCAACTGCACCCCCACATCTCTGAGACCACCTCTGTTCACTTTCCTCGCCTATTCAGTTTTTTAGAGTCCACATAAAAGTGAAATCATATGGTATTTGTCTTTCTCCGACTGACTTATTTCACTTAACATAATAGTCTCTAAGTCCATCCATATCGTCCCAAATGTTACGATTTCATTCTTCTTTATGGTAGAGTAATACTCCATTGTATAAATGTACCACAATTTCTTAATCCAGTCGTCTACCGATGGGCATTTCGGTTGTTTCCAAGTCTTGGCTATTGTGAATAGCGCCGCAATAAACATAGGGGTACATATATTTTTTCGAATTAGCGTCTTGGGTTTCTCTGGATAGATACCCAAGAGTGGAATTGCTGGGTCATACGGTAGTTCCATTTTCAGTTTTTTGAGATACCTCCATACTGATTTCCATAATGGCTGCACCAATCTGCAGTCCCACCAACAGTGCAGCAGGGTTCCCTTTTCTCCACAGCCTCGCCAGCACTTGTTGATTGTTGATTTATTGATGCTAGCCATTCTGACTGGAGTGAAGTGGTATCTCATTGTGGTTTTTAAACCCAGTGCTTCTTAATCCCAGCTGGGCATCAGAATGGCTGGTGGCTCTTTGCTGGTCTTCACCAGAGGCATCCTGGAATTCCTAGGTGGAGCTTGGACATTTGTCATTTTCAAAAGTGACACGCGTGGGTTGCCAAAATGGACTGCCTTCAATTTAACTCTTGGACTGAAATGTGAGGTTTCTATACTTTTTGGTTACTTTTGTAAGATTTAAAAGATTAGCTTTTAAAAATCCTTTGGTTCTGAGCTCCTATTTCTAGCCTGGGCTCAGCTCAGGTCTCCTCTCCGAGACCACTGCAGGCCCTTCCTCATTCTCTGGAGCCCATCTTTCCCACTTAGCTATTCAGGGCATGCTAAAGAGGTCTTTTATGGTTCCCTCCTTTCTTTTTTTTTTAAATTGGGGAATTGGGGGAGGGGACCAGCTAAGTTGTTCTTCAGTCTTAGTTGTGGAGGGCGCCAGTCGCCATCTGGCTGCCTGTTGGCAGCTCGTGGCCTCTAAGCTGAAGGTGCTGTGTTACAATCTTAGTTGTGGGTGGGCATAGCCACCATCCCATGCGGGAGTCGAACTGGCAGCCTTGTTGTTAAGAGCGCATGCTCTATCCACTGAGTCATCGGGATGGCAGCTCAGCTCAAGGTGCCGAGTTCAGTCTTAGTTGTGGGTGGGCGTAGCCCACCATTGAACAGACAATCTTGTCATAAGGAGCACGTACTCTCACCAGCTGAACCATCCTGCCACCTGTTGGCAGCTCAGTGGCAGCTCAGCTCGGGCGCAGCGTCACTGGCCCATGTGGGAATTGAACCGGTGGCCCTGTTGCTCAGAGCTTGCACTCTTAAGCTAACTCTTAACCAAATGAGCCACTCGGCTGGCCCTTCCTGATTTCTTATACAGTTACAAGTGGAGCTGCAGTTTTTTAAAGACTCTTCTAGCTCTCCAAACATCAGGACCCTCTCATAACACACCCATTGTTGACTTCCTTGTTTAGCAACTATTCTTGGGTCTCCACTTGGAGACCTGTAGCCTATTTTTGTTCTTGTTCAGTCATAGCTAAAAGTCATTAAATGTTTCCTTCTTACCTATTAGCTCTAAATAAGGAATATTTACAGTATGTGTAGTGAAGGCACTATCCTGTCCAAGACATACCAGTGAGGGGACACATAATGACATGATCAGTAAAAGGGGGAGGAAGACTCTTTCATATCTTAATAGTTCACAGAGAGGAAGTGGTTTCATTTCTGGGCTATTAAGTAACATGCTGTCTTGGGCTAAGAGACCGTTTTCCACTTCCTCAAATATTGTCAGCATGGGATGTGAATCTTCAGGATACAGAGTTAGGTGGGTGGATGGTGGTTTCACATCTGTCCTGGGTCAAAGAGCATTAATTGGGGTAGCAGTTGTAGAATGGGCTGAGCGGCTTATCCACACCCTCCTGCAGAGGGCGTTTTGATTGTGGAAGTGTGGGCACTCGAGTTTGACTTGCCCAAATTTGAATTTGATTCATTCAAAGTTTGGCTTCCATTCTGGGTTTAGCAGTTGTAAGTAACTGAGGAGGAAGAAGAGGAAGCGCACCTCTTTCCCTCAACCCTACCACTCCCCGCAAACCTTTCTCTTGCATACAGGATGGAGTAAAAATTGACAGTGGAAGTCCCCAGATGTCAAAGACTAATTTTGCCTAAAACCAAAGCAGCCCTGCAGGAGACCACGGAAAAGACCAATTGCTCCCTCATGCCTTTCTCCTAAGGGTGGTTGTCTATTATGTAAGGAACATAGAGGCATTTGGTGCAGGGAATGGGCTTCAAGGTCAAACAGGCCTGGCTCAAAACCAGGCTCTGATAATAAAAGCAAACAAACAAACAAAAAAAACCAGGCTGTGCCTCTTACTTTCTCTTCAGTATTGCAAAATTTACTTCAATTCTTTGAGACTGTTTCCCTGATAAATGAAATAGAGACTTATAGGATTTTCTGTGATTGGGCTAAATGAGATTGTTTAGGGACGAGTGCCTGGTCTGAGTCCTCCATCCCTTCTCATGTGTTTTTCCCCTGTTGGACTTGTCTTCTGGTGTTTCAGTCCCCATCTCTTGTTACTTTTTATTTCTGTGTGCCAGAAGTCCTTTAACCCCAAATACCCACATCCCTCTTCTCATCCAAAGAGAGAGGAGGCTGAGCTTAGGGAAGGGCTTTGCATAGCTCTGAGGGGTGACATTCTGAAGGGCAGGAAAGCTACTGGAGATGGAACAAGTTGGATTTCCTTGCAGTAGATCCTTTAGCAAGCAGTTTTGTTACTTGAATTTGTGGTGTTTTAAGTCCCTAGGCACCAGATGCTCCCATATTCAAAGGCTTCCAGAAGCACACAGACTTTTGCCAACTGAAAGCAGCCTAAGGGTGGAGGGTAGGGCCACTCATGAGTAATGGTGAACCTAATAGCATCAGAGTTTGGCTATCGGAATTGAACCTAGTCCAGTCTGTTCACTTGGGATGTGTAGAAGATGTGCCTTCTGTAAAAGGCTGCAGCCTTTGGCCAGCCCTTTAGTCTTTTGTTCCTCATTGCCACCCCACTCTTTTTCTCTTTTTGGCTGGTCTGTATGCTTACATGTCTACAATGGCAATTTTGTTTTATAAAATACTGTGTGTGTGTGTGTGTGTGTGTGTGTGTGTTCGTTTGTGTTTGGCAGGGGTCATGTTGCCACGGAATTAGCTCAGTTACTTAGAGCCAAAGAACCTTAGGTTGCAAGTTTTATCCCAACATGGACCCGTTATTCTCTTACTAAGAGTAAACCAAATTTCTCAGGACTACTGATCTGTCTTAGTCAGCTGGTTTGCAAATGTGGTCTGGTCTTCCTCAAGGGAGATCAGGCAATCTGTGACCACTTCTGTAAAATACAACTCAAAACATCTCTTCTTTATCAAAAAGGAAGGGAACTGAGTGTTTTCTCAGAAAGCTAAGCCTTTCTGATTTTATAGATGGTGAGAGTAATAGGGATCTATCTGTCCCAGGACTTTCAAAGCGCCTGTCTGAACTCCACTTCATATGTTCATGGCCTTCTGAGTTCAGGTGCCATCTTGTCTTCTCATCCACACCTCCCATTTTCTTTTCCTGACAGGAACCTTCTCTTCCATACGCCCTTGTCTGAGCCTTTGCTCTTGGTATTCCTTTGCCTGGAAGGCCCTTTCCTTCTTGCCTGCCCAAATCAATATTCCTTTAAGGTCCTACTTGAGTCCGACCTTGGCAATCTCCTATTTCTCACATCTTCCTAGATCTCTCTACACTTACCAGGTTTCATCTTCTGATGTTCTCTAGTTATTTTATAAGTGTGAGGCTTTAATTTTTCCCCGAGCTCTTAAGCTCTTAGAGATCCTGCTTTAGATCTTTTCCGTGAGCTTTGGCATCTGACCCCATGTAGGACAATGCCTTGTTGAATGGAGTTCCTGGGAGTGGAGTGGAACAGCGTGCACAGGGAGGTCCTGGACCTGGTTCCCAGTCCCAGTTCTACCACTGTGTAAGGCTGTGTATGGTCAGGCTGATGGAGGTTCTGCCCTTTCCCTGGTTGTAAAGCACATCCTCTCATTCTCTTCTGCTCAGGGACCAGCAGAGGCCCAGCACAAACTCAGAAGATTAAGATACAATCCCTGTCCTTAAAGAGCTGCAGTCTAGTTAGGGAGGTAGAAAGTGGAAACAAAATGATAATACTCTCTGACTCCTGTTAACATGGAGACTCAAGAAATGCCAGATGTACCTTTGTTTCTATCCCTTGGTTAATGGGATTTTCCTCCTCATGCTGTGTTGGGAGTTTATATATTTGTCTCCCTATCTAGAATGTGAGCTCTCAACGGGTGAGCTTTGTCTCATTCATTTCTGGATCTCTAGTTTCTAGCCTAGTGTCTGGTACATGTGGGGCATTAAGTAGATATTTGAATTTGTTAAATGAGGGACTTGATAAACAAATGAGTGAATGTAACCAGTGCCACAGGAGCATGCAGAGGAGGTATGTAGAAGATAAGAGGTTGGTGACTTTGTAGCAGATTATTGAGGAAAGACTAGGAGCTTGTTCAGCAGGCATGAGAGGAAGGGCATTCCTGGAAGAGGGAACTGCAAAAGCAAAGACAGCAGAATGTGAAGCCTTATGTGGGGTAAGAGAAACCTCACCTGCTATGGAATGGCTCGAGAAGGACACGGAGCAGAGAACAGAGGGGAGAGAAATGGATCCCGACCTCCTTGTTCCTGAGCAGGCTGCCAGGTGTTCTGCATGTCACCTCAGGCCAGCATTTAATCCTAAACTTGCTCCTGCTTACCAATCCCTTCTCCCCAGCCCCCCAAACCTGGCTCCTCATTGTCCCTTGCTCATGAGGTGCAATTAATGTTAGTTGAAGGCAATACTTCTCAAACTTTAATGTGCTCAAGAATCACCTGGAGATCTTGCTAAAAAGGCAGATTGTGATTCCTTGGGTCTGAGGTGGGACCTGTTACTCTGCATTTCTAAGGCGCTCCCAGGTGATGCTGATGATACTGGTCTGGAGACCATACTTGGAGAAGTGAGGCTTTAAGGTAAACGTAACTAGGGAGGCTCTCTGTGGCCTCAACTAGGCATTCCAAAGGCCAAGAAAACGACCTTCCTTTGGGTTATTTGTAATACTGCTTCTCCCAGTAGGGCAGGTAACTGAGTGTTATCTAGTAAAATCTGCAGACACTGGGTAGAAATGCCAAAAATAGAGCTTCACTCCCCAAATAGCCCATCTTTGATATTGGTGTCTTCAGTCTGCAAAAACACCTCTTTGAGTTTCTGCTTTCCAGGTTTTTATTAGTTCCTAGGGAAGACTTACTCTTTTGGAGCAAATGGGCATCTGGAGGCCCAAGTGAGCCGTGGGGGAGGTTCTGGGGTAGCTCTCCCTGTGCCTCACACTGGGAGGGTAACTCACCCCTGATCTAGCACCTTCTGACCAGGTGGGCTGAGTTGGACAAAGGCTATTTTAAGCCACATATCTGGTTTCTCTTAGTCAAATGCTGGATAGAAGCAGAGGAACTTCTGTATCCATTTCTTATCGCAGGTGTCCCCCAAATAGAAGCTTCTGGACCCAGTGTGAGATCAAGTAAGTTGCTTCCTTGGGCCTCACAGGCACTCTCAGCTACATTTTAAAAAGAAGGAGGCCGGCTACGTCAAACCAAAACTCTCCAGCTGACATATTCCTGCAGCAGCATGGGTGGCTGTGCTGCATCCTGGGACCTGGCTGAGGGGCTCCCGGCTGATGCCAGCCTACCCCTCCAGGCACACCAGCAGATCTGGCCACTGATGGCGGAGGAGGAGACCTGGGGCCTGAGGGCAGTGGGGACTGAGTCCGGCTGTTGCGAGTGGAGGACACTTTTCCCTCAGGCTGCCCCTCCTTTTCTTCCCTGATTTTCATACCTATGGACTATGAGCCCTTTGGGTGATCCAGCTGCAGCCAGGCTCTAGCAAAGTGACAGAGGCACTTTGGAGACAGCCTGTTCAAGATCCAGGTGTGGACAACCTCCTCTGATGTGGTGGAAAGCCACCGAGGTCTCCTCACCACCCCCCTGCCTTCAGCAACTGTCGCCAAAATCTGGCCCACTTCACCCCTCCCCAGCCTGGAACAGCTGCAGCGGCCTACACTAGATTTCACTACCTTCATCATGATGCCTACTTTCCCCATTCCCTCTCCTCATTCATTCATTCATTCATTCATCCATTCAGGGGTGCCCTTTGCGGTTATGCATCACCTGTTTATTGAATGTTTGCTCTGACCCAAGCACTATGCTGACCTCCCATTTTGTTTCTCCATGCCCTGCCCCTTAGCATCTTCTTTTACATCACATGCAGAGGCCCCTTGTTTACCTATCCCAGTCCTCTCTTCCACGTCTACACAACCTGAGGAAGGTCTTATGGCTCCTCCCCTTTGTGATAGGCAGTGTGGAATACTGGAAATACCCAGTGTTTTCCTCAGACATCAGTGAGAAACCTGGCTCTGATTTTGCCCTTAATTCCCATGTGTAAACTTGGGTATATTAAGTCCTGTCAACCTCCATCTCCTCCTTTGCAATGAAAAAAAGAAGAAGAAATCACCTATCCCAGGGTTACAATGAGTTGAGGTATCACAGGTAAAGTACTTGGCGCAGAGTTAATGCTCAAAAATATTATTTGCTCCCTCCGATGCATCAATGACCCATCACAAGTACATGTGACTGCTGCATGAGAACCTGTGTTCTGCTTAAATGTCTCCCCAGAAGAGTGGGGGTCGTCACCCTATCTGCTCAGGGCTGCTGTGGTACTCCACCCCAAGTTCTCCTACTTGTGGTATTAGCCTATTTTTTTCATCTTTTTTTCCAAAAAAAAAAAAAAGAATATACACAACAGAAGAAAAAACTGTAGAATGAACACCATGTACCCATCACCAGTTTCAGCAGTCAACAACAGTGTCCAGTCTAACGTCACCTGCCTCTCCTACCTCTTTTTTTTTTTTCTTCTGGACTATTTTAAAGCAACTTCCAGTCATCATATCATTTCATCTGTTGATGAAAAAAACCATCCAGCCTAAGAGAAAGCATATAAAAGTTTATCTGAGCCAAACTGACGACAATTGCCAGGAAGCAAAGTTTCAACAGATTGAGAAAATGTTCTGGAAAATGGTGATTTTGCAACTTATTTTATACATTAGAATCAAAGGAGGAATGTTACATGAAATCGACTGGTGGTAGATTAAGGGGGTGAAAGAAAGCAAAGCAGGGAAATCTCTGGGGTTGGATAATAAGTAGAATGCAGAGACACACACTTCTTTTACATTGGTGGGTACAGAACAGCAATAGCATTTTACAGCACATAGAGATAGTATTTGGGGAACAAGATAACAATGAGGGGTTTTGTAGATTCCTGCTCTGGTGTGGTGGGTTGTGCCCCCTGGGGGGTTCTGATAAAAGGGATTACTCTGACCTTCCAAGGGCGTGTTATATTAGATGCAAAAAAGACAATGGGCAGACTCACTTAAGGTAAAGATTGACCTTTGTCAAGGAAGCTACAGTCCAAGGATGTGACTCCCCCCCCCCCCCATGGCCCACCTTAGTTAGGAATTTTTATGTTCACACCATCTTCTGAGGTCATTTTCAGTCTCCTGAGCTTGTCAGGTTTAACATGTGGCCCCTTTTCTGTCCTCACACCTATAAGCACTCCAGTGTGTATAACAGATAAAGACATTAAAGAACATAACCACGATATTTTTATCATACCCAACAAAATTAAGAAATTTTCATTAATTTAATACCCACTCCATATTTATTTTTTCCCAATTGTCTCAAAAATGTCTTTTTCTGTTGATTTTATTCACATTACATTCGATTGTGGGATCTCTTAGGTGTTTTTACACCAGCTTGACATATTCTGTTTTCAGTGGAAATGCTAGAAAAATGAGGAAGTCCTTACTTCCCGAAAGTCTCCCAGCTCACTTCCCTGAACTCTTTCCAAATGACAAAAACAAGTATCTCCTTTTTTGGGGGTTTGTAAATGACAAAAGGAGTTCCCTCCCCCACCCCCTTATAGAAGCTTTGAAATAAATGGGTTCCGCTTTCAAAACCCAACAATCATTCAAGTTAGTAAGAAAGGCTGGATATGCTTTAGTTCTTTTGGAGGGTAAACATTCCCAGGGAACTGTGTTCTTTTCAGATAGACTTTTTTATGCCCTCCCACCTACCTTTTGAAATCCAACAACCACAAAATTTACTCCATCCCCCTTTTTTCTCTCCCTTACACACTCCCTCTCTCGTTTTAGCAGGAACCTACAGGCCGGCCATATTAGAGAGATGGAAATAAAGCTTCCTTAATATTGTATGTGTCTTTGAAGTACATCCGTGCATTATTTTAATTTTATTTTTTTTTACATCTAACCATTCCTCCCTTGTAGCCCTTGGCCCCTCAAATCACCCTCTCCCATATTCCGACTAACATCTCAGTTTCTGAAAATGCACAAAGATGCCTGGCTACCTCGCCCTGCCTTCAGTCTCACGGGGCTCAGTCTCTTTTTCTCTTTGGGTAAGTTAGACTGCACATCTGCATGCTCCTGAGGGTTCAGAAGTGCAGCTGCAACTGGAAGAGGATGGCGGCAGGGGGCAGGAAAGAAGGTGTTGCTGGAGGTTCTCTTCGGCGTCCTTGGGAAGGGAGGTGCTGGAACTCGGGGACTGCATAACACTGGGACTACTTGGTCACAGAAATGCTGAGTGTTGCTGACAATTGTCAAGGGAGGTGATTTTTGTTTGGATTTCCCTGAAGTGGACCTATGTGCATGTGTGTGGCTGGGGGAGCGTAGATCCATCTGCAGTTTCCTCATGGTTTTTTTTTTTTGTTTGTTTTTTGTTTTAAAGCTGCTGCAAATATGGGGTCCTGAAACTTAATGCTCCCTTAAGGGGCTTCTTTTGTGAACCTTGATCCTTGGAATCTGGTAGATTTAGGATATTAGGAGACAGTGTGCAGGGGGGCTGGGGGCAAAAAGTTGAGTCTGGGTCTGGCTTCCTGGAAACCTGCACTATTGATTTTTGAAATGTATGGGGGAAGTGGGTGGAAAGCAGGCTTGAGGAAAGATCTCTGGATTGCGAGACCTGCTGCAGCAGACACTGATGGAGAAGGAACCTCTGGCTTGGGCCAGATGGAGTGGAGAAGGGGTCAGGTGAAGGGATCAGAAAAAAAAAAGAAAAAAGAAGGAACCCACGGGCCAAGTGAAGCTGTGGCCCTTTAAGAACTGTCCAGCCCAGCCTTGCAGACTGCCTTGTCAAGTGATCTAAATGTTGTTTCAAATTTGACCATTCATAGGTTTTCTGGTGGGTTGGTGAGCTAGAGTTATTTGCAAGATTTTTATAAGTAGTTTCACCCTTGCTCGTAAACGTATTCATTGTTGATATAACAACTGAGGGTCAAGTCCAAGGATTGTCAGTGAGAATATTATTCCCCATCACAAAACCTCTCTCTCTCTCTCTCCCTCCCTCCTTCTCCCTCCCTCTCTCTGGTGCTGCACTGGATTATCTGGCAGGACTGCTAAACAGGCAGTGCAGAGCCCCCGGAAGCCTGCATGATGAGGCCTATTAGCTTTGTTGAGTTATTAACAACAGAGCACGAATGTCTGGCAATACAAAGAGCATGCATGCGCCTGAGTCTGACCTGGGTTTAAAGCCACTTTGTCATTTACTTCATATCCATAGGCAAGTTACTCAACCCCGCTGAGCTTCAGTTCTTTCATGAGTAAACTGGAGAAGACCTACTGCCTGGGTTTGTGTGTGTGTGTGTGTGTGTGTGTGTGTGTGTGTGTGTGTGTGTGTGAGTCTGGCACATAGCAGGTACTCAATAATAACTAACCTTTTTGAAAGCATTTTATGGGCTCAGGCGCTGTATATCTTGTTTCGTCCTCACAGTAGTCGGTAATCATATGAGGTAGATAGTGTTATTACCCTCGTGTTACAGATGAGGAAACAGGTACAGAAAATTTAAGTAACTTGGCCATTAAGGTCACATAATGCAAGTTTAAGGTGAGCTGAGATTTGAACCCCTGTTTGTCTGACTTCTGCATGTTCTTAATGGTTGAACTCTACTGCCCCCAATGTTCAAGAAATCTCACTGCTCTGTTAATCTAATTGATCAAAGAATCTCAAGTGCAGGCAAAACCCTGAGCGAATGACTTGTGTGTAAGAAGCCGGGGATGGAGGACAGGTGGCCTCCTTTGGGAGTTAGGGATAGCTTCCTGCGGGAGGGAGGCAGCCTTGTGAGAGCCTTATCTAACCTGCTGAAAGGGGCTCGGTGACCGGTGACGGGGTGTGGCTTAGGGGAAGTTTTGGGGTGAAAAGGTCAGCGTAGGGCCTGTGAGGTTTTTGATGGGAGGAAGCTAAAGCCTCTGCACACCTGGGTGGGGAGAGGATGCGGGAAGGGGGACCTTGAATTGTATTGGTGCTGTGATGAGGCACGCCCTGGCATTCCCAGACTGAGGGCTGAGGCGGACAATGGACCTTTGGGCGTGGTAGCAGCATCAGTCCTCAAGATGGAGGGATGCTACAAGTGAAAAGGGAGGAGACTGTCAGGGGCTGAGTTTGTGAGGATGGCAAGCTGGGCAACCTGCTGTGGCAAGAGCATATAAACCAGTTTTTAGCTAGAAACAATCCAAATGATTGGGCTTCCCTAGAGTTTTTCTCGAGACTGTTGGCTCTGTGGTCACCAGCCTGGTTACTAAAGTCTGGGTTGTGACAGGGGAGGCCTAGAAGAGGAGTCTGGTCCTCACTCAAGCCCACTGCCCATATCTGTTGCTGGGGACAGGGGCCCAGACATGGAGGAGACAATGCCTTCCCTTTTATTGAGTGCCCACTGTGTGTCACATACTGTTTTGGGTCCAGGGTCACCACGATGAGTAAGAATTTGGCCCCCAGAGCCTCCGGAGGGACACAGACACATAAACAAATAACAATTCAGTATCGTATGTGCTGTGATAACAATAATAATAATGATAATAATAGCAGCTAATCTTGTTCGAGGGCTGACTATGTGCTAGGCACTGCTGTGAGCTTTATACAATAGTCTAAGTTAGTTAACCTCACAAT